ATTGATGCCGAAGCATTTGTTACAACTCGATCAACAACCACAAACAAATTCAACAACCGGGGCGGTGGTGGTCACATGCTTTTGCGTTGGTTCTGAACCGCTGGCAGTAGTAGCAATCCCTGGGCGACATCCAAGGTGTGGGGCGTGGTTGGCGTGATGGATATCACGGACGGACTTGATTGTAACGAGGTCCGAACGGGCGTTGAGGGCGACGGCCACTCACGGGGGTGGTTGTAGGTGTTTCGGGTATCTGATCACCACTGAGTACAGCCTCAACCTGCTCGAGGCGCCGGGCGGCGTCCAACGCTGCCGTAGGTGGTGGGTTGAGCACGGAACACCGTTTCACCGGTGGGTCCCGCGTACCCATCAGGATCTGCGTGAGCACCTTCGCGTCGCGGTCGACGGGGTCAGTGTCCAGGAATGCTTCAACTGCTAGGCGACGAAGTGCACGAACGAACGAGACCAGGCGTTCGCCGGAGATTTGAACGCGGGTTTGGAATTGATGAACAAATTCCGCTTTGTGGAGGCGATCTGTGAGACAATCCCGAAGTCTCTGGAAGGTTTCTGGGGTGATGGGCGCGTCGAGTACACCTTTGTCTCGCACAATATCATTGGCCTCGCCCTCACTGCGGTCTGGTGGCGGAACAATTTCGATATAGTCCTGGGCCGCCCGAGCCCAACAGTGGAAATCATCGCCCATGTGAAATTTCGCAGGTGGGGGGACGGAAGGAGTAGATTGTGTTCGTACAATTCCGGAATGAATGACAGAGGAGAGAAGAGTGAGGATAGGTTGCATGAGATCGCCGAAAAATGATGTGGAATGTTCGGGAGATTCTTGTTTCTCGGAATCACTTTTAGGATTGCAAGGCATCCTGGCAGGGTCGCCAAATCTGTGATATGCTACGGTTCGTTACCAGCCAAATTGAGTACAATTTCCGTGACGTGTAATCTGGAAATGACGACAAAGAATTTTAGGTTCGTCAGCACCCGTAATACGCTCACACAGATCGGAAACACGCGGAGAACCACAGGATGGAACTCTGGGTTTATTTCCGTACGGATTTTACAGCGGTTCAACGCAGTCACAGCGGATGCAATTCAAAACGTATATAAAAATCGATAAAATCAATAGCTTGTCAATTTAACAACAATATCAGTTCTCGTCTTGGTTTTGATCTATCTCGTGCAGGTCTTCTTTCGGTCGTTCGTGCCAAACTGGTGCTGAAATATCTGGAAAGCAACCTAGAGGAGAGTTACGATTAGGAGCAGTCAGTTCGTTCTGTCTTGGTACACTACACAGTACTGCAATATATGACCTTGTTCACTTTGTGTTTCTTTTTCACCGCAATGCATATTCACGAGGTCTATTGTACCCGCTTTAAAATTACGTTCTTACTTTCTCTGTACATTTAATCTTTAAACCGTCATTTTTTACATTGTTGTACATTTGATCATGTGCACTCACATGCCTCGCGGGCTTCGTGAATTATACCGTTATTATTATTATTATTAATATTACTAGGTTCTCGGCTTTCATTGATGCACAGAGGTAGACGGACATGTAGGTCACTCTTTGGATTTCGCGGAGGTCTTCCAAGAAGGCATTCAGTGATCCCATAGACCTTTTTTACTATACTTTCAAAAAGGACTGTATCGTCAACTTGTGCTATGGTTGGTATGAGCATGGACGTGACAAACACTGGGCATCATCTCGGGCCACAAAAAGTGTTTCGTTCTAAAAGAGACCATTATGAAACGAACCTTCCCCGCACGTGGAGCGCATACAGTGCCATAGGAGGTACAAGCAGTGGTATTGCCTTCGCGTTAGTCCCCCCTCAGACGATTGCAGTATGCATTGCCTACTAATTAGTGCTTTGTCTCCGTGCAAAACCTAAGGCGCGCGCGGATACATTTACCTTTATCACGGTTTCCCGGGTAGTTCCTAGTTGTCCATTGAATACAAAAATGGATAAGCTCTTGGATATTGTGTGTCAATCCCTTGACCGTCTGTCCAACAATCGCCGTTGAAAACTTGACGCATTAAGTTTCCGGTCAACATCCCATAATTGGTCCCAATCGCCACAACCTACGCTTGCACTTTTTTGTGGATTACTGTTGGTATCATAGAGAACATGCAGCCAAGGATCGTGAGTGCGGAACCAGATCTACTTTGCTCGGTACAGGACAGGTAAACTGAAGACCCGACCAATTGTGGCAACAAACTCTCTTAGTAGATCGCTAGTTATTAGCCCTCGTTACGTTAGGAACTTAACCATTAATAGATTGTTACCCATTGACATCGGCACAGAAGTCAGTGTTATCTCGCAGAATACCGACGACCCAACCAGCCCCGCATCCCGTGAACTTTGTGCTGAGAACGGCAACTCGATCTCTACGTATGACCAAGAGTAACTAATACTGAACCTTGGTCTACTACGCACTTCCCGGTGAGTTTTCTCGGTCGCATATTTCCCCTCAAAGATAACAACTTTTTCCAGTATTTAGACCATATGGTCGTTCTGAGACATCAGAAGGTAGCAGATCAACCAACCAATCTCTCCGTGATCAGTTTGTGAACTCAACTCAATCATTCCGCTTCACATCAACGTATTTACTGGAGATCCGTAATGCGACCTGTTTGCTGCTTTTTCCACTCCAGGATCCAACCCTGCGATGATCGCCAGGGTCTGCCACTATATCCTCATCAAAAGTCCTTTGTGTTCGCACGACCACATTGTCTGGCACAGGACATTCTGAAAGCACCCAGGGCAGAGTTTGATCACTTGCTAGAATTGGGTCCCATTCACTCTTTAAACAACCCTTGGATCACCATTCTTCAGCTGGTCTCGTTAGCGGAAAGCCATGCTTGGTAAAAGACCGAGCAGTGAAGTAAAACAGAAAGTAATATCACAGTGAGTGTAAGTTGATTGTGAAGAAAATTTGAACGGAAAACGTCCTCATGGATTGCTCCTTTTCCTCGTACAAGCATTGTCACTACAACACCTCACAGTCTGCCTTTCAGATCAAATCTATTGGTTTATAGTGTTAAGCGGCACGAAATCAACCGAAAACACAACTATCTGGATGCACGATTGGCCTGGACTACAAAACTTTATGTGCAAACTGAACTGAATTAGATAAACCGATTTTTGATTCGCTCTAGTCTTCCACCGACCACCGCGGTTGAGCCTCTATCGAACCCCGCGAATCAAGATGCAAGACCATAAGAAATTTAAAAATCCCTCTAAACCCGTAACGATTGGATAAGCCTCGCACCCGCATCATGTTGCAGTGGAAGTGAACACCAGAGGGTGAATAAAAGTCACCATGATGCAGTTCATCACCCCCAGCGGGGCGTCATCCTCATTGTTCTTGCAAAACGTTTGATAAATAAAATAATCCCAAAGTTATTCTGAGTAAGCTGAACGCCCCTTTGGCGCACGGAGTGGGAGTAGTTAGGGCTTGCCAACGCAAGGTGATCCAACGAAGTCTACCGGCAAGATCACCGTTGAGCAAGTCCACACCAACAAAACCCAAACTGGAGTAGCCAAAAGGCGATAACACAAGAAACAAAAAGCCAGGGTAGTCCTGAGCTGGAGTCCCTGGGAAGGAAGCAGATAACAGAAGAGCCGACGGCTCACCAATAACCATTCCGGAGCCATCCAAGGCTGAGGGAGCAAACATGATGACTGAGTCTAAGGTCGCTGGTACCAAGGCGAAATCAGCGTCCATTAGTTGGGCCACAGTGGTAGCTAGGAATATCCAGGACTCTCCCCCTGAGTAGAAAACTATCTCTGCTTCGAAAGCAACGAGCGCCTGCAAAAAGACTCGATGACTAATTTGGGTTGATCCTCATAGCCGTAACAAAGTCTGTAGGAGTATATCCTGGTCGTTCACGGAACCTGATTGCCCGGTACCCGCGAATATGGTAGCAAAAAACGTAATAGCTCCTAGGGCTTTACGGCCCAGAATCCACTCCAAAGAATACGGAACAGTTGTATTAAGTTGGAGGCGGACACCGTCACAAAGTAGTAAAATAA